GCATGTTCTTGGCTCACTGCAACCTCTGCCTCCCAGTTCAAGCAGTCCAGCCTCAGCCTCCCAAGTAGCTGGGATTACAGGTGCGTGCCACCATGCCCGGCTAATTTTTGTATTTTCAGTAGAGACGGGGTTTCACCATGTTGGCCAGGTTGATCTCGAACTCGTGACCTCAAGTGATCCATCTGCCTTGACCTGCCAAAGTGCTGGGGTTACAGGCATGGGCCACTGCATCCAGCCAATATCTGTATAGAAAGGAACGTATGCCTTCTTTTTATTCATTCATTTCATTCATGTATGACCTTGACACATGTGTTTTTTGTTTTTTTTTTTTTTTAGACGGAGTCTTGCTTCCTTGCCAGACTAGAGTGCAGTGGTGCCATCTTGGTTCACTGCAACCTCTGACTTCCTGGTTCAAATGATTCTCCTGCCTCAGCCTCCCCGGTAGCTGGGATTACAGGCATGCACCACCACACCCAGCTAATTTTTGTATTTGTAGTAGAGACAGGGTTTCACCATGTTGCCCAGCATAGTCTCAATCTCCTGACATCGTGATCCACCTGCCTTGGCCTCCCAAAGTGCTGGGATTACAGGTGTGAGCCACCACGCCTGGCCAACACGTGTGTATTTTTAAATTGTGAGTTCAAATAGATATTTGAAGTAAAATCTAGTATTACAGAGTTTTCACATTTTCTTTGATGTGATATTTTTCTATCTCCTTTCTCTTACTCTGAAAATCTTGGTTCTTAATAGTAATTATTAATTCTTTGCAGATCTTTTTGCCCTTAGACTATATCCCTCTAAGGAGGCACAATCAGAATATTGTTTTCAAAAATCTCTTGAAATAATTATTTTCTCTATATAGTTATGTTACCAATTACATATATGGTTGAGTTTATTTTTTCATTTATTTTTGATTTTCAGGTTTGTCTTTTTCTATTTTAATTTTTGAATATGTAAAACATTTATATGGTTCAAAAGTGAAAAAAATATATAAAAAGGTATACTCAGAGAGGACACTGTTTCATTCCTTTCCACCTCATCCTCCATCCCACTTAGGTAGGAATTAATGTTAGTTTTTTATTTATCCTTCCAGTGTTTCTTTTTGAAAAAAAATAGGTTTAATATTCTGCTCCTTTTATATTTAACAATGTATCTGGAAAATTGTGTCAAATCAGTACACAGGAAATTTTCTCATTATTTTTAAACAGCTGCATAGTACTCCATAGTGCTACACTGTGTGGATGAACTGGATTAAATTAGCCACTTATAGAAGTATGTGTGTATAAGCACCTTGTTAGACAATCACAGGGTTCTCTCTGGTATCTGGTAGTTCTTGTTTTCTGGGGTGGCTGCAACAGATGACCAAAAATTGGGTGGCTTAAAAACAACAGAAATTTATTTTCTCACAGTTCTGGAATCCTGAAGTCTGAAATCAAGGTGTTGGGCTTCCTCTGGAAGATTCCAGGGGGGAATCCTTTCTTGCCTCTTTCAGTTTCTCTTGGCTATAGGGGTCTTTTTGTTTGTGGCTCCATAACCTCAATCTCTACCTTGGTCTTCATGTGGCCTTCTCCTTTGTTTCTATGTTTTCACTTCTTTTGTTTCTTATAAGGACATTTGTCATTGGGTTTGGGGTTTACCCAGATAACCGAGGATCTTATTATATCTGCAAAGATCCTTTTACCAATTAAAGTCTCAGTCACAGTTTTCAGGGATTAGGACATAGACATATCTTTTTTGGGGGAAGGGTGGGCACTGTTCCGCCCACTACATTGGCTATTATAAATAGTACTGAAAGGAATACACTTCCACGCATGGTTTTATATTTATTTCTCCATAGAGTTATGCTACCAATTACATATATTGTTAGGTTTATTTTTTCCGTTTATTTTTTATTTTCAGGCTTGTCTTTTTCTGTTTCAATTTTTGAATATGTAAAACATTTATATGGCTCAAAAGTGAAAAAAAAATAAAAAGGTATACTCAGAGAGGACACTGAGTCCTTTCCACCTCATCCTCCATCCCACTTAGGTAGGCATTAATGTTAGGGTTTTTTTAAAAATCCTTCCAGTGTTATATATTATAATAGCTGCAGGGTAGATTCTTAGAAGTCAAAATTCTGGCTGGGTATGGTGGTTCACACTTGTAATCCCAGCATTTTGGGAGGCTGAGGCCCGTGGATCACTTGAGGTCAGGTGTTCAAGAACAGCCTGGCCAACATGGTGAAACCCTGTCTCTACCAAAAGTACAAAAATTAGCCAGGCATGGTGGCGCGTGCCTGCAATCCCAGCTACTCAGGAGGCTGAGGCAGGAGAATCGCTTGAACCTGGGAGGCAGAAGTTGCAGAGAGCTAAAAATCACACCACTGCACTACAGCCTGGGGGACAGAGCAAGACTGTCAAAAGGAAAAGGAAAACAAACAAACAAACAAAAAAACCTTGGGAGGCCAAAGCCCACGGATCACCTGAGGTCAGGTGTTCAAGACCAGCCTGGCCAATATGACAAAACCCCGTCTCCACTAAAAATTAGCCAGTTGTGTTTGTGCATGCCTGTAATCCCAGTTACTTGGGAGACCGAGGCAGAAAAATTGCTTGAACCTGGCGAGATAGCGCCACTGCACTCTAGCCTGGGTGACAGAGCCAGACTTCATCTCAAAAAAAGAAAAAACAAATTGAAATTCTGGGTCAAAAGGCAAATATTTATTTTTGCCAAATTTCCTTCCATAGGAGTTGTAGCATCTAACATTTCTACCAGCTATGTTTTCTATAGCTTTACCAGCAGACCAGAGTGTGTTATCACACCTTGTCTCTGTGGAGGTTGTTTGTTTGTTTTTTCTAATTCAAATGGTATTTCAGAGCAGTTTTAATTTGCATTGCAAGTTTTAAACTTTTGATCTCATTATTCTTATTTGCTGATTACTGTAGGACATTTATTCAACAACACTTAATGTCTGCATAACACTCGGCACTCTATAACTCCAGGGATAAAGAATTCAGTACAAAGCAAGTGAAGCCCTCAAAGGGTTCACAGCCCAGCAGGAATGAATTTAGAAAGAACAACAGAAAATAAGAAGAGCCATATGGTACGTGCATGTGGATGAAAAAGTACCAAGATAATAATACTATATGTTTCTTCCTTTTTAAGAGAAGATTTGGAGTTCTACATTTTCATTACTGGGTAAAGGCTAGATATGATGGGTGAGATGAATCTATATGCACAGATGCCTGTTTCTGGCATTACCAAGCTTGACAGTATCACATGTTCACTGTACACTGTCATTTATTCCCACAGGTAACTAATCGCTCAGCCTCCTCAACTGGATTGGAAGCCTTGGAGGTCAGGAAGATGCACCTTATACATCTTTTATCTCCAAGGTTTAGAATCATGCCTTACACAGTGGAGGTGCTGAATAAACGTTTGATGATGATGGCAGCTTGCTTTGCAATGAAAAAAAATGGAGTTTCCTAAGACAAGCATATTCTATTTTTTCAGTCAGTATAAGGAAAGTTATCTTCTCCTAAAGGAATTGGACAATGAACATTGTGATTTGCTATGTGTAATCAGATACAAGCTCAGCTGCTGTAACAAAGATTCTCAAAATGCCTTGACTTAAGATAAGACATTATTTTGCTCTCTTGCAGCACTTCTGGAGGTTTGTGGTCCTGGTGTGTGTTGTCATCTGGGAACTCAGGCTGGTAGGGCCGCTCTGCCATCATCTTGAACATGGGGCTTTCATCTCTGGGTCTGAGAGTGATCCATGCTATTGGGTTTGTCAGTAGCCTGTTCTTTTTTATTGCTGAATGTGTCCATACGAAGGAATATTACAAAAGTCTAAAAATAGAGAGATGCTCTAAAACTGTTTAGTTTTTTTTTGTTCTTTTTGCCTGCCTGGTTGAAATATGTAGGACTATTTTAGCTTTTTATTGTATTTCATTTAATGAACTTTTATTGAGTGACCCTACAGGCCAAATACTGTGCTCAGGGATGGGGATACAAAGGTGTGTAAATCCTTGTCTCTTCCCTCAAGTTATAGCTCAGCTAGAGGAGAAAAAGACAGTTGTGTTGTCCCAATTTGGATGGAAACCACGTGATTCTACCTTAAGTACTTGCTGAAAAAGCTGAAAGGATGTCAAAACTTGCAGGATCCGGATGCCACTATACAATCCTACGGTGTAAGAAATCTGACCATCTTCCAGCTCAAAGTCTTGCCCCAGGGAATAGGCGCCTGGCTTTAAAAAGTATACAGGCCTGAGTCAGATCCCTCAGGGTCTATTTCTGGTTCTGCTACTGGATCGCCATGTGGCTTGCACAACACAGAGAACACACCCTTCCTACAAACAGGCAAGATCCCAAGGAGCCCCCTGAGCGAGCGACCTCCATACCCCAAATGAGGCTGGGTTCCAGGAACCAAGGGGCCAGCTGAACTCCTCACCGGGGCACGCTCTTCCTTAGAGCCAAAGCCACTCATCTTAGTGTGAAATTAGAGCTGCGATTTTGGCACGGTCAGAGGGGCTTCGACTCGTTCCCTGGTGTGAATCCAGAAGCTAAACCTAAAAATAGTTTGCATTTGAAAAGCCTTGACACTTTTCTCACTGAGATGTGTGTGTGTGTGTGTGTAGTTCACGTTGCACTAGAGGAAAATGGGGTGCGCGCGCAGGAGATAGAGTGACGCTACGGACGATCTAGGCTGCCGGGGCAGAGGGCGGGCAGGGGCCGCCCTGCGCTTCTGCGACCCTGGAAAGGAGGTCGCAGCGCGTCGCCTGCTGGAGAACTTCATTTCCCAGGAGCACTTGCGGCCCGCGGCAGGGCGGGGCGACGTGCCCAATGCCAGCCCATTGACTCCCATCGTGCCGAAGGCCGCCAGCCTGATTGGAGGACTGTCTTGCGGTGCATCTCGGGATTTGTAGTACAACGTGTGCGTGAGAGAAGCTCCTTTGTGATTCGAGGCGCCTCCTCGGCGCTCTGAGCGCGTCCCTTCTAAGTTTTGGCGCGGACGGGCTAGTGTCCCGCGAGGAGAGTTCGGGCTGTGTGCGCGTGCGTAGCGCCCAAGGGGCCGGGAGGCACCTCCCGCGGGGCGGGGCCTTGGGTCCCGCGTCGACACCGCCTTCCTGCCCCGCCCCTCGCCGTGACCGGTCCGCCCCTCCTTCCTGGAGCCACAGCTGAGGCAGCGGCGGCGGCAGCAGCCCGGCTGGGGGCGGCGAGTGGCCCGCGCGAGACGCGCCGGCCTCGACCCTATGCTTTGATTCGCGTGGCGCAGGCGCCTACTGCCCCGCCGGCGGGGCCCGGGCTTCCTGCCGCGGGATGTTCTCTCGAAGGAGCCACGGGGATGTGAAGAAGTCCACCCAGAAGGTGCTGGACCCGAAGAAGGACGTGCTGACCCGCCTGAAGCACCTGCGGGCGCTGCTGGGTAGGGCGCGCGCCGGGCGCGGGGGTCGGGGCACCGGGGGTAGGGGCACCTGCTGGGAGGGCGCCCCTCTGGGCAGGGGTCGGTGGCTGGGAGGCTGGGGAGGGGGATAGGTGGGCGTCCGACCCCTTTCCCTGGATCTGGGCTTGGACCCCCGGGGCTTTGTTTCCGGAAAGCCGCAGCCTGGCCCTCGGGCACTGCTCCAGTCGCCCTCGAGTTAAACTTAGCCCAGATTCTCGCTGGGCGCCTGCGCTCCCGGAGAACCTGGAGGCCGGGCACAGGGGTACCTGTCCCCTCTCCTCCCAGCAAGTGAACTGGATCCCAAGTGGTCATCACGCGCACACATTGAACTGTCACCTCCCCCTTTCATTTTTAAAATTTTATTTTTGAGTCTGAGACTCTAAGTAGACCGAGACCCCAAGTGAACCCAGCACAGACCTAATTGGGCTCTCATCTCTGTCATCCTCCTTTTAAATTTTCTTTTTACTTTTGAGTGTGAGACCCCAAATAGACTGAGATTCCAAGTGATCCCAGCGCAGATTTATCTGTTTTCCCATGCTGCTTTTTAAATTTAATTTTTATTTTGGGTTTGGCTGCTTCAGTTTCTTTGTGTCCTTGGAGTGAAGGGGCCTTCTCTTCCTGCTTGGAGAGAAGGGTGGTTTTCTTGGGTTCAGGGAGGCTGCTTCTCCTTTATTATCAGCGTGACAGTGATGGTGTCTGCCACCTTCTGGTTTATGGCCTGCCGGGTGGAGGTTCTGAGGAGCTCAGGTGGGCTTGGAGTTGACCTGTGATGTAGCTCACCCCTGTGGGTGTGAGGTGTCCACAAGACCTCCTGTCACCTGCTGCATGTGATCTGTAGCTGGTTCGCCTAGGCTATGTTTTGTTTTCTGTATTTTTTGCCTCCTAAGTCTTTTCTTTAGGATGAAAACACCTTTGCTGTCTATAGACACACTTACTTGCCTGTGTATTTGGTGGCGAAGGAAAGAACACCTTATGTTTCTTCTAGGTGTCTTTTAGTCCTAAAATTCACAAAAATTGCCTAGTGCTAATGTGTCTGTCACTTGAAAGAATATTGTATAAAATGATTTAACATGTGAGGATTTTAAATAAAGATCTTGTTCATGAGATCAGAAGTTGCTGATTATTTCTATTTATATTCTGCCTCTGAGGGGGAAAAGAACCCAAGCCAAACCAAACCACACCTGATTTGGCCAAGTGAAGTTATTCACAGTCTCACATTCCTTGAGGTTACACTGACTTGTTCAGTTTGAAATGAAATGTAAATTAGTTACTGTTACAGGGATTCATTTTCAAGACTTTTGAGAGTGAAGTGTGGTGTTCTTGATAAACTGAATTTTCTACTTCCTGTAGATACCATGCACTCACAGGTTGCACAATACACAGGTTGCATTGTGTGGAGTTCCTAGTAGTGACTGATTAACACCTACTGCAGGGACATTTTTGATAAAGGAGAGTTGAGCTGTGTTTTAAAGCATTTGATACTTTGAGCCTTTTTCTGTGCTTTAGCATTTACACTTTTGTTCTGTTCAGGTCTGCAAGATTAAGTTGGCTACATTTTATAAAGGCAGAATCAAGTAAACCTAGATCAGGTTATTTCTTAGCACACAGTACATTGTTCCTATTCTGAGAAAGTTGTTTCTTTTCAAGTTTGTGGAATTGTAGTTTCACTCTAAGGTGTAGTTTCTTATTTTAGGGAACTTCCTTTTATCATTTCACGGAACTCATCATGACCTCAGTTTTGTAACATGGAGAGGTTCTTTTATATTTCCTTAGGTGTATGATTTTTGTTGATATACTTACGGGAGGAGTGGCCCAGTTTGCTTTGTTTATTACTGTGATCTTTGTAGGGACTAGATTTTTGTAAAATGTGTCTGAGGAGTTCTAGTCATAATATTTAATGTAAACTTTCACTTGCTCCTGTGATTTATTCAAGACTTCAGAAATAGTACATTAATGCACTAGTTCCTACCTAATCCCAATATTCTATTTGGTTGCTACTCAAAAAAAAGTCTGCTTAGAAAACAAAGGCCTCTTGAACTAAAAGTTAGGAATTAAGCCAAGATCAAGGAAACTATTTGAAGGAAATGAATAGTAATTACTATTGTATTTTTATGTGTGTATTTATATAACACTTTTGCTTTTCATATATTTTATCTTGAAGTGATAATAGTGATTTTTTTTTTAAGTACACAAAGATTATGCCACTGACTTGGGTATTTGCAGCCTGTCCCTGCTGCCTGCAGCTTCATGACTCGAGCTAGTTACGTAGCCTGTCTTTGAACCTCGGTTTCTTCGCTCTGTAAAATGGGTATGGTAATGTTTGCCTTTTCAAGGATGATTGTGAGTATGATGAATAAATGACTTCAGCTTGAAGTAGGCCTTTAACAGTTTCCTTTCCCAATATAGCTCCCACCATTAATAGGATTGGACAAGTATTTTGATAGGTAATTTTTCTGTCTTTCTTATTTTTGATACTAGTGATGAATTTGTTCTCTTTCCTAAAAAGTAGTCTGTATTTAAAACAACTGGGTGAGAAACATAAAATTAGTTGTGGAAGTAGAGTATTTCTTAGTGTCATGGTAATAACTCCAATTTGGATGTAGATACTTTGGCCTGGCTATATATTATAGACTGGTCTGCTATGATTAACTTTATTTTACAGAGGGGTAAACTGAGGCACAGGCCAGTTTGACACATGGTGTCAAGACATGGAGCAGATTTTACTTATGTTAGAGGAAGAACAAAGAGCAGTTAGGTCCTGTGACTTCCAGTTCTCCCTACACTGTTGACAAAACAAAAACCACAAAATCCTCTGTATTACCATATTGCTCCAGCAAAGATTCCCTGTCTTTTTTTTTTTTTTTTAACAGGGTCTTGCGCTGTTGTCCAGGCTGGGGTGCAGTAGTTTGACCTTGGCTCAACTACTATAGCCTTGGCCTCCCTGGCTCAAGTAATCTCCCACCTCAGCCCCCGGAGTAGCTGGGACTACAGGCATGCACCACTATACTAGGCTCATTTTTTTTTTGTTTTGAAATGGAGTCTCACTCTGTCACCCAGGCTGGAGTGCAGTGGTGCCATCTTGGCTCACTGTAACCTCCGCCTCCTGGGTTCAAGTGATTCTCATGCCTCAGCCTCCTGAGTAGCTGGGATTACAGGTGCGTATCACCGGGCCTGGCTAATTTTTGTGTTTTTAGTAGACAGAGGGTTTCACCGTGTTGGCCAGGCTGGTCTTGAACTCCTGGCTTCAGGTGATCTGCCCGACTCAGCCTCCCAAAGTGCTGGGATTACAGGTGTGAGCCGCCATGCCCAGCCAGATTTTTATATTTTTTGTAGAGACGGGGTTTTGCCATGTTGCTCAGGCTGGTCTTGAACTTACAGACTCAAACAATCCTCCCACTTCAGCCTCCCAAAGTGCTGGGCTTACAGGCATGAGCCACCATGCCTGACCAGATAGTGTATCTAATTAAAAGTTGAGTGTTTACTATGAGTCCCAAATTAGGATGTAGAAATGGGATTGATATAGTGAGAAGAACAGATACAAAATAATAGTAAATTTATGGTGTGTTATGTAATTAGATGGTCGGGTATATGATAGAATCCATTATAGGATTTCAAAGAACAAAAGAGATAATTAAGAATGTCACAAAAATAAGGGCATCTTTAAGGAGGTTTGTAGTCATCTGTTCTCATGCTGCTAATAAAGACATACCCGAGACTGGGTAATTTATAAAGGAAACAGGTTTAACTGACTCACAGTTCCATATGCCTTAGGAGGCTTCACAATCATGGCAGAAGGTGAATGAGAAGCAAAGTCATGTCTTCCATGGTGGCAGGCAAGAGAGCTTGTGCAGGGGAGCTCCCGTTTATCAAACCATCAGATCTTGTGAGATTTATTCACTACCCTGAGAACAGCATGGGGAAAGTCACCCTCATGACTGAGTTATCTCCAGCCGTCCCAGCCCTCGACATATGGGGATTATTACAATTCCAGGTGAGATTTGGATGAGGACACAGCCAAATCATACCAACGTTTTACTCATGCTGGGATCCAAAGAATGGTTAGACTAGTTCTGTCCAATAAAAATGTAATGTGAGCCATATGTGCAATTTTAATGTTTTTTAGTGACCACATGTTAAAAAGTAAAAAGAATCAGATGAAATTAATTTTAATAATGCATTTTATTTAAGTCCATGTTTCTAACATATATCTGCAGGTAATCAATATAGAATGCTATCAGTATTTTTTACATCTTTTTTTCATACGAAGTTTTTGGAATTCATTGTGTATTGTATATTTACAGCACATACCGGTTCACACTAGCTGTGTTTCAGGTGCTCATTAGTCATATGTCACTAGTGGCTGCACTGGACAGAGCAAGGTTAGAATTTGGGAAAGCAAGGTTAGAATTTGGCAGTTCCAACCAAGGGAAGATGGAAGAGCTGGTGGCGGAAGTAATGTGGCAGTGATATAGGAGGGTAAGGAAACCAGCCTGACTTTCACTGTGTCCAGTGGGGCAGTAGCGAGGTGTGGTGTTGGGCACTGAGGACCTTTGCCCGGAGGATATCCACAGTGTCCTGCATAGGCCAGGGGTAGGGTAGGGTCCTGGCGAATGAGTGGAACAGTAGCCTGACAAGCAGAAGCTGAGGCTGGCTGGGGGATCATAAGCCAGACTCAGGTCAAATTGTGACCTAGGTTTGGACCGGAGTAGAGAATCGTCTCTCACAAATGCTGTATATACAAACAGAGCAAAACACAGCATTGTCATATAGTTCGTTTTGTGCATATGTCGCTCTAGGTAGGAACAAATTGACATACAGTTTTAAATGTCTTTTATTTTATCATTAGCATTTTTCATGTTTTGTTCCTCTCATTTTTAAGTACAACTGTTTGTTAAGACCGTGTTCCATAATTTAGCCTACCATTTCCTGGATTGTTAAATTGTGTTCTTTTCTCTCCTTCCTTCTTTCCTTTTTTTCTTCCT